TAGCCGTTGATAAACGTCTGTGACATATTGGAAATGTTTTTCATGAAACGCCCATCAGGGTTTTGACCGATATAGAAGAAGAAGTGATGGTATTGAAAATCTGACATTTTTTGTTAAAGTGCAGAAGATTTCCAAATTTGATTCAGAATGATAAATGCCCGTCCTGCATATCCGACTCTGGTTTTGATATATTTGATATGTATCCACATGATGTGTGTTCTGTTTTTGACAGTCTGTTATATTTTGCTATGTGTACACGGACCGATATTTCATTATAACTGACAATTTGCTTTTGTCTGTCCACTAACTAAACAAACATGTCTGACCTTGTTTTCACATGACATTACAACCAATCATGTTAAGACTGTCTAACAATTCGTTCATTTTTGAACATTCGCTCATACACTTGTGTGAAAAATACAAGTATCATCGTGAACCTGATGGTTTCCTGATATCCGCCTTCTTGCGTCAGGACTATTAATTACTCGACCAGTACATAACAATATTCGTCCACATAATCGCCCGTATCTGAAAGTATGCTCTCTAAATCTTACAAATTTCTTTCGTGAGCGTTGATTGGTGCTTGTTGTTTTTGTTATTGTTGGTTAGTCGTCTTCATCGCCTCTATCTTCTCTACGTTCACTTGAAGTCTTGTCTTTGTTGTTTCCGCCTACAAATCTTCGAATACCGAATGAGTATACACGCACTAAATATATATATATAACTGCAGTTATACTGCTAGGCGAATGAAATAGCTATCAAGCTTCTAAGCTGAACTATTTGTTCTGATTTCCACATCTAAATGTGTATTTTCTATTTACTGAAATTCGTCTAGTCTTACAGTTTGATTCAGTAAGGAACAATTTTTTCGTGTTTGACCACGGATTGATATCAGTTAGAGAACACTATTGAAAACCACCCACAGGGAGTATTGGACAGCTATTTCATCTTAGTTTGAAAATGAGGATGGATTTCCTGCCAATGGCATTGATTAGTGGTAGCGCTAAAATCACGAATAGGTAGGAGTTAGAATTCATAGACTGGCCATTAAATCGGATCCCAGTGGTAGAGAGCTAAAATAGTCCATGTCAATTTTAGCTCTCCACCCAAAGAATATCTTTCATTCTAAGCATATATGTTCGCCCAATATCTCTGAAGATTTATGACCAAATGCTTCAATTATTCCAAAATTTCTGGTAAAATCCGACTAGATACCTCTGAGTTTGTCAGTCAAGAAGTGAGACAGAGATGATGAAGTTGGCTTTGTGACATCCATCTTTATTCTCAATGATTACATAATCAATGCCCTTGGGATGATGCAAGTGAAAAGCAGCAGTAGCTTTTGTAATTTAAAGTGAATAACCCGCCTGGGAAATATCGGTAGGTAATGAAAATTTTATAAAAACGTCAAACTATTAACAAAATCAGTAAACTCAGAAATTTTATGTATCTTTATGTCTATAACTAAAGGTGACTTTGTAGTAATAATAGTAATAATAATTACAATTCATCGTTTTGATTGTAAAAACGTTTTATGCTCTCAGAATGATTTACGCAAACATTCATATAAAGCGAAAAAAATATTTTTTTCCCACGATTCTGAGTACATACGAAAGGTCGACTAAAACTGCAGTGGTTGTATCCAAGAATAGTGTTCCCAAAACACAGTAAATTGATATTATTTGTATTTCATTGGGTTGTTAAATAGAACATAGACCTTCATCAGCAGTCGTGTATTATTTACTATTATTATCATTATTATATTCTTTAATTCCTTGAGGAACATAGGGCTTTAGCTGCGCATCTCTATTGCCTTCTGTTTTCTGCAAAACCTTTTCACCCCTCTCAAAGTCTGCTGACATGATTCCATCTCCTCATCACATGACCTCCTCCAAGTCACCCTTGCATTGACGGCCAACTTGCCGCTTCTCTTTCGGGTTCAACTCGAGCAATGGCTTGTCTAGTGATGTCACTTGATGGTTTCCTCAGAGTATGGCCAGTCAATCCATCTCCATTTCTTCCTGCCTACTTGTTTCACAAATGGTTCGCCCCCAGAGATCCCAGTTGCTGGTCGTTTCCGGTCGGCCATCTGATCCTGAGTATTGAGCGAAGACAACTGTTAATGAAGATCTGTAGTTTGTTTGAGATGCTCTTTATGACGCGCAGTACAAGTCTCTGATCCGTGTAGAATAGCACTGACGTCACATTGGAGTTGAAAATACGGATCATATTTTTGATGCTGAATGCTGTTGACTTCCACACAGACTTAAGAGTAATGAAAGTTGGTGTTGCTTTCCAGATCGATCCTTGCTTTGATATCCTCATCAGTTCCATCCACCTGTAGTTGAAACGATGCTTCTCAGATGGGTAGCGGAGGTTGTTTCTTTCAGGTTCCTCCATTTATGCTAATTGTTGTCTGTTGTTGTTGCTGTCGCTGTTGGCCAGGAATTTTCATCACCTCGGTTTTATCTGTGTTCACTTGAAGTCCTATCTTTGATGCTAGTTCTGCCAGCTTGTTGCTTTTCACTTGCATATCTTCCAATTGTGGGAAATCAGACATATATCATCGGCGAAGTCCAGATCCTCCAAGTTGTTTTTTGTGTCAGTCCTTTCTATGCCTGTTTCCTCATTTCCCGTTGTCTGTGACATTATCCAATCAATTGCAATCAGGAAGATCATTGGTGATAGTAGACAGCCTTGCCTCACTCCCGTCCTCACTTCGAAGGCTTCCGTAAGTTTCCCGTTGTGGATTACTTAGCATGCAGCATTGTCGTATAACTGTTGGATGAGGTGTATAATTGTCGATGGGACCTCGTAGTAGCGAAATAGTTGCCAAATGACCTCTCGATCGACGCTGTCGAAGGCCTTTTCAAAGTTGTGTATAATTCATAATTTTTACAATCACATTCATCTCGACGGCCTGGTTCAGGGATCTCACTCAATGGTTCCTAAATATGTGCTGAATCCATCCTTATTAAGTTCTCTTTACATATAATTGGCAATGGATTCTCGTCAGGTACGATGGTTGCAAGAGTTCAGAGTCGCATATCCTTTCCGGTTGACAATCTGATCTTTATTTTAACACTAGCGAAGGCAACTGTTCATGAGAATTTATAGTGTGTTAAAAATGCTTCCAATGGCGCACCAAGTCTTTAAGCCATGTAGAAGCATTGATCAAACACCAATGATGAAGACCTTAACTTTTTTTCCCTACTGCTAAATGCAGCAGATATCGATACTGAATTCAGATTCCAGAAGGTCTCTCTTTCTTTTCCGATCTTTTCTTTGGCATCCTTATTTATGCCACCAGTATTTGAAATAGTGCTTAGAAAAGGTGGTTGGTTATCCATACAAATTCATTGAGAAAAATAGGAATTCAGCACCAATGAGAGTCAGTATAGCTACAGTTCTGAAAAACCCGCTCATTGTTCATAAAACTGCAGTTCCTCGATGACAACATCAGTGGAAAAATAACACAGCGCCTAAAGAATGCAGTTAAAAGAGTTTATTATGCAGCAGAGGTACGTTGTCTCTTCACAGCCACCCCTATTCTATGTTCGAGAAATAAGGATAAACTACCTAAATTTGCCTCTTCTATGTGAATCTACCAGTTTGACTGCAGCTGCGTAGCCAGCTGCACCGAGCGAACAATTAGGCAGGTTCATCATCATATTTCCGAACATCATCCAGCATGGTTAAGCAAGGGACAAACAAAATCTATTCGTAGCTCTATTTTAGCCCACCTTGTAGATAGTGAGCATAAGGTTGACGTTAATACAGCATTTAAAATTATTAATCACATTCCTATTAATCTTAGTTTTGCTTTATGAGTTCGTCTTCTACAGACAGCTGAACCAATAGGAATTCACTTGAAGAAACCAAACTTGTGTGTTCAGAAGAAATCGTACAACCACTTTCCTTACCTTGGCCATCGTTAAATAAATGTATAAACCGGACTACTTAGCCCCCCTCTCCCTGAACCTTTAAAAATTATAAAAATTAAAATTGTTCTAATTGTTTTATTCTTATGACCACTTCAACTTTAGTTAAAAATTGTCATTGTCCAAATTGTTTTATTTTCTTTAATAATCTGCTACTTAATCAATCTGTAGACACGCTTATTCCTTAATTACTCTTCATTTTCGCCAAAATTATGCGTAATGCAATCCACGTGTTGTAGCCATTTCTACCTTTTAATTGTCTGTATTAATTTCCTTCGTTAATAATCACCTCATCGACATTTTGACACAGACCTAATTATTGTTAAAAAACATATCGCCACTTGATCGGTAAACTGTTGTGTATTGTAATTAAAATGCTATATATATTAGAGTAGAGCCAGAGATGAAGATCTAATTGAAAAGTAAATATTCCTCCACTCAATCTTTCTGTTTTCTTTCAAATTTTTCCAATTGATGGTGATTAGGGCTTCCTGTTATATCCTTGCTACTTCATCAAAGGAATTACTGATTTTCGCTTGTATATTTCCAAGTTTATAAGAGAGCGGGTGACTTGGAGGAGGTCATGCGAGGAGGAGATGAAAGCATGTGGACATACCTGGAGCAGGGTGAAAAAGTTGTCAGAAAACCGAAGGCAATGGAGGTGCGCAGCTGAAGCCCTATGTTCCTCTAGGAACTAAAGGATACAATAATAATAATAATAAGAGAGCGAGCATAAATCATCCGCCAACTCCAGTACTTCTGGAGTGTTTTAATGTCCCAACCTATGGCTGTCTTTTCACTCCTCAAGATCTGTCTAGTCGAATGCAAAGAGCAATGTCAACTCTTGTCTCCACTACGAATGGTTTTGGTGATCTTTCCTTTGTGAATTATTTTGTATTTGGTATCATAATATAGCTTCAAACAAACATGGGCGGCTTTTAATTATTCTTTGCTGTGAACTTCTCAGGGAAGATTCAACTTTATACACAGGAAATATAAAACAAAATAACACAGTATTCTTTTCACAATGCAAATAAACAAACGGCTGTGATAACTTACTCGTAAAGCACAAAATCGTCTATGTACAATAATCCATGATAATAAGTAAATAAAACAAGGTAGTACAGCTGTAATCGCCGCACAGTCCACAGGTGCTACTATCCGCAGACTACGTATATAACAGTGTATAAATATTTGCCAAAGACTTGATAAAAGGCTACACCTTGCAATAACTTTCATAAGTTTCGGTTGATCACTTGCTACAGTTAAAGCATGATGCCTAGAAATAACAAACAAAGCAGGGCTAATTAGTTACTTGTTCAAAAAGAGAGTAATATTTATTTGGTTACACGATTTTATCATGAGCTGACATCAGTTAGAGAACCAATGGAAAAGCTGCACCCATCGGAGCTTGAACCGAGGACCTTCTGGTTTCAAGGGGAGCTCATAGAGCATCCACTCACGGGGACCTGATCCAATTGGCAGCCCATGAATTCTAACTTCTGTCAATTCACGACATACAACAACCACTAGTGAATGTCATCACTGGCGAGTATTTGTCCACACACCTGACTTGCTGCACCTAACTGGTCACGACGTCCCACTAGAAGCCCCAGATAAGTACCCCCCTAAATAGTGCTAGTCGCTAGTAAGCACTCTTTCACTCTTTAACCGATGTCAGCTCACGATGAAATTCTGTAACCAGTCAATAAAATTCCTACAAACGCATACTTGGAAATAATAATTATTTAATAGGTAAAAATCTGAACGTGGTACCTTATGAGAGCCGAGAAATTCTCCGCACAAAACAGTATAGTTTTAGTGAGAGGTAGAATATAGCTGGGATGCCTAAACCGACCCTTTGACTAGAAACCTGATCCACAAAACAGTGAAGCAGAGTTAGAAGCTGTGTTCTTATGGTTTCTGGTGACCAGATCCGGTCTATATCCTACTCGATCCATCACGATTCTGGAGTACTTTTTCACCATATGTCTAAAATCAGGGATTTTCAGCTTCCTTTGGTAATCCCGAATGTCCATGAGTCTGTTTGCAAGCGCCACATGTTCTCATTTATTCTTTCGCTCTAATAAGGAGCATCTCTACCACGTGAAGATGATGAATAGGACTTACCTGGCAGAGGGTAAAAGTGTATATTCATAATTACCTGGCATTGATTTCGGTTGGGCAGTTGTACTTAGTTTTGGTGGCAGTGGTGTTGGCAAGTGCTCCCTCATGTGGGTAGACAAAATGGTTGAAAACAGCTGAGTGCAAAGTGCCAAAATCCTCAATAACATAACATCTTGTGGATTACGGACATGATATCGACGGTGTCAAGTTATTCACTATTGTGAGCAGACAAAGAAACGAGAAGATGCTTGGAATTGCAGAGGCCTGTGCAATTCGAATTTTTAAACCAGCTCTCTGTATACAAAAGGAGATGGTCGTGACTCTGAATCTACCATGATAATACATTTTACTTATTATTATTCTACCTCTTATTATTATTGTTCTTGATTCATTTAAAACTATCCTTTATCAGTAGAATTATCTTAACTCACTTCAACACTATTATTATTATTGTTATTATAACCATTACTATTGATATTACTCTGTTTGCAATTCTTGTTATATTCCCTAATGACTAATTGTTTATCTAAGTGATGTAATTGAAGCGTAATGCAATTTATCTTAATTTTAATCTCTTCTATTCTCTCTCCCCTTATCTATTTGAACATGACCTGGAAAACATTCACACACACTTGTCTTTCTGCATAACTAATTCAATGTAGTTTATATACTTATCAGTCTTATATCTCCCAATGTAATTTCAAAAGTATATATATATATATATATATGTATCCGTGTATGTAGAGTACTGAGCAGGTGACGAGCTCTACCGAAATTTAATGAATTCATTAGGTCATCCTGCTTTATTAACCTTTATTGGTTGTTTTAAATTCGTATCGGGAAATAAATGTTTTCAATTAGTAATAAAAATGACTAAAATAATATAGAATTCAAAGCCTCTGTGGTACTGCTTCACAAAGAAGGAACGTCAGAGGTCCTACGTCGGGGTTCTCAATGAGGCTGGAATTAAGGTGGCATTTAAAACAACGAACTGTCTCAGACATAGACTTTGTCGGCCCAGGGACCCAGTAGATCCAATTAAGAAATATAATACAATTTACCAAATACCATGCCATGATTGTGAGGTGAATCACGTAGGCTGTCAAACTGGTAGATCGGCGTCAATTAGATTATTGGAACATAAAAAAATTAAGCTAGAGTTAGAATAACTGACCCTGTAAAGTTAAATAACCTAGAAGAAACAGAGGTCAGTCATTGAACTGTATTCACTTGCAGGTAATCACAGAATAGGGTGTATGGGACTGAGTGAGAGTATGAAAAAGTAATACACTGGTTAGATGGAGGCAAAAGGAAGTTAATTAGCGAAGCTTTATTAATCGACTGAACACCAGATAGGTGTAATCGAAATGACGCAACATCTATAACGGGGGTATGTAAAGCGGCAACAAACAACAAGAGTCAGGTGGTGAGAGGCGGAGGAGAGAAAATATGTGAAACAGGAAATTGCGAAAGCGTGTGACTAAATTGGATATGATTATGAGCAACATATTGCGCTGGAAACGTTATGCAGTTGTTAATACTGCATCACTGCCTACTATCTTCAATGATTTTCCCGATTTCGGGAGGTAGACTGAATAGTGCGACAGACAGCGGTGAGCAACGAAGAGACGGGTGTAAAATGGACAAAAACACTTTGGACGATCTGGACGTCGCAGATGTAATATATGTCTGATTTCCGACAAACTGGAAGATATGCAAATGAAATGCAACAAGTTGGCAGAAGATGCATCCAGAGAAGACAGGATTTAGATATGATAGAGAAGATTTGTAGCTCAGGTGGATAATTTTGATGTGGTTTTGTTCTCTGAGCTGGATGGTTAGTTTGCGAAGCTTTCATCGCCCTACTTGGTGACATCTTCAGCTCATACTTCAATTTGAAGTGAGCTTTTAGATTTCTCCACGAGTATATTAGCCATCTCTCCTGGTGACCTTGGACGTGAAGCTTGGCATTCCAGTGAATCATCAATCAATAGACATATAGAGATAGACAGAATTTACCAATCGATAAGAAGGAAATCTCACACACAAAGGGTCAAAGTTCAAGTCACAGAAACAATCAGTTCCAACACAAGTAACCTAGAAGGTGTGAAAACACACATAAACAACCAATCACGTCCAAGGTCACCGGAGAGATGGCTAATATACTCATGGAGAAATCTAAAAGCTCACTTCAAATTGAAGTATGAGCTGAAGATGTCGCTGGGTAGGGTGATGAAAGCTTCGCGAATTAACCATCCAGCTCAGAGAACACAACCACATCAAAAGACAGGATTTCGGGTGAACACAGAGAAAACAGAGGTGATGATTGAGATCCTGGCCAACAGCAACATCAGCAACAATAGGCAACAATCACCATAAATTGGTGAAAGCTGAAAGAAGCAACCTCCTTTACCTACCTACCGGCTTAAAAAATATTGTTTCAACTTCAGGCAGACGGAACTGATGAGGATATCAAAGCAGTGAGGATCGGGGAATCAAGGCCAGCTTTCATCAACCTAAAATCTGTGTAGAGATCAACAGCACTCTTCAGCATGAAAATGAAAATAAGATCGGTACTTTCAACTTCAATATGAAGTCAGTGCTCCTTGCTATGCGGATCAGAGACTTCGAGCGACATCACGAAGATTATTTCGAACAAACTACAAACCTATTCATCAACAGCTGTCTTCGCTCAATACCACTCAGGATCAGATCGGCGACCATAAAAGATCAGCAACAGAGATCGCTGGGAGCGAACCAACCTAGAAGGAACGAATGGTGCAACAAATATGCAGGAAGAAATGAAAGTGGATTAGCTTGTTATACTCTAAGAAAACAAAGCATCAAGTGAGTGATATCACACGCAGGGCATCGCTCAAGTGAAACCCTGCCGAATTGGAAGCGGAAAGTTGGTCGTCAGTGCAATCGTGGCGTTGAGAGGGTGATGTGAATAGGAGATGAAAGCATATGGGCAGATGTGGAGCCAGGTGAAAACATTAGCAGAGAAGCGAAGGCAATGAAGACGTGTGCCTGAAGCCCTATGTTTCTTTAGGCATTAAAGGAAACAATAATGAAAATATCTAATATGCAGTTACATTATACCACGGTGACCAAGTTTTACGCTTACATTAATGATACCTAATGAAAATCATTCTGATGGAAGCCTGTGTACGATACCATAATATAATTCGTCAATTTAAACAACATGAAACGGAGAAAATTAGATGCATTCCAACGGATAAGATACAAGGCACCTCAATGATTTAGGCAGTCGCGGTAATCTGTTTTACCGGCTGCCATATCACATACTATTTATGAACTTTTGAAATAAGTAGAAACACCCAGCATTATAGTTCCTACCGGAAATTGACTGTTTCAATGTGAAACAAGATAATAATTATCATTGTTTCCTTCAGTTCCTAAAGAAACATACAGCTTCATGCACACGTCTCTATTGCGTTCGCCTCTCTGTCAACGTTTTCACCTGGCTCCATGTTCGACCACATGCTTTTTTCTCCTCTTTACATCGCCTCCTCCATATCACCCTCGCACTGATCACAAACTCACCGCTTCCTATTCGGACGGGCTTCACTCGAGCAATGACCTGGGGTGTGATGTCACTCACTTGATGCTTTGTTTTCTCAGAGCATGACCAGGCAATCCACCTCCATTTCTTCCTGTATATTTTTTGCACGATTGGTTCATGTTGGGTTGGTTCGCCTCCAGCGATTCCTGGTGCTGATGCTTTCTGGTCGCCGATCTGATCCTGAGTAGCATTGAGCGAAGACAGCAGTTGTTGTCAAATTCCTGTAGTTTGTTCGAAGTGGTTTTCATGGCACGGTGTGGAGTGGCGTCAAGTCTCTGATCCGCATAGCTAGTAGCGCTGACTTCGCATTCGATCTGAAAATCTGGATCTTATTGTTCACTATTAATTACAATTTCCAAAAATGGTATGAAAACCATAGACTCACTAACATGGGTCAACTTAGGCATTTAAATCCGATAACCTATACAGTTGAACAGTTAAAAGCAATGCCAAACAGTTAGTTATGGGTATTATTAATTAACAAGATTATATCCACGGATTTAGTGTTCGAAGTTAAACGAATTATAATAATTTCTACAAGTTCCTGACCAGAAACATCAGAGAAGTGAGAGAATTATTATTATTATTATTATTGATAATAATATATTAAACTGAATTTTAGATCTCCCCATCGATTGATTAGACCGAAGTTCTTGTTCTTGGTTGACATGTCGGTTTCTTGTGCAAATGCTTTCAATGATTTCTGGAAATTTAATTAGAATTTAATTTGTGGATGGTGACAAGCAGTGGAATCCATCTGGATGCGCATTTCGTCCTATTTGAAACTCATCCAATCAATCGACGGTAAAATCAAAAAAGTTCAATTAAATAATTAATATGCCCGTTGCACAAAAGGTGACTCTCTTGGCCCAATTGGTCTAGTGGATAACGCTTTGGCGTTTGAAATTATGGCACTGGGTTCGAGCCTCGGTGGGAACACCATTCCTTTACTGAGGGGGGAATGAAAGTATATCTAGTGGCCGACGAGTCAAAAGTAGGACGAAGTGCGTATCCTAGATTTCACTGCTAGTCACCACCCACAAATTAATTTCAAGATAATAATATGATGATAAAATGAAGACTGATCGACAAAAGTCGAAATATTCTCAACATAAATATTTTGTATAAAATCCAATACTTACATGATCATTTCATTTAGATTTGTTGTCTCCAAACGAAATAACAAAGTGAAAATCAGATATACAGGATAAATAAGAATTAACCAAAATGATATAGAATAGGAAGCCAATGATGGGGATTTACAAGTTCCTGAAAAGGTATAAAAAAGAAGAACATTTCACTCTTACGTAATGTTGTAACCATTGCGAATCAATTGAAAGGCGAAAATAAAAGCACACAATGGGACGCGTGGCCCAGTATATAAAACTTAACCTCGCCTGTTTCACTAGTCGGTTCTTAGCTCGGAAAAAGAGAAAAGATTGGGCGTGAGGTAACAACACTATCTTCGAAAATAAACTCGAACGCTATAGAAACTTCAAGAATTAGAACTGGTCCTATTCAGGCAGTTAACCTGGGGTTCTTCTGGGAAGGCGTGACCAACAGGTTGGAAATAAGGCAGTAACTCATTGAAGAAGACATTGTGAAATGGCCGCGCTATATCGTGAATTGACAGTAGTTAGAAATTTCAAGGACCACTGGATAAGTTGCCAGTGAGTGGCTTAATGGTCTACGAGATTGTCAGTCTTGTATGCAGAATGTCCTGGGTCCGGACCTCAGTGGAGCGGGTGCGTACTACTGAAGAGTTCTAAACTACGACTAAACAGCTGTCGAGTACTCTCAGGTTTTCCAGTAGTGCTCTAACTCATATCAGATTGTTGTGAAATCCTCCATACCATCAAAAATATAAAACACAAACTTATTCAAAATTTAAAATAATTAGTTCCCTTTATGAATTTTGACAACATAGTTAGAAGACGTAGTTTTTGGTATATTTGCGCAACATATTTCGGAAATTCCAATCACAAACACCAGTACTTGTCATGCACAGTTTTATAGAAAACAAAAAGACATGAGTAATTACAATGCAGGTCAGATTGTGTACAGGTCAAGGTCACAAATAATGGGTAGTGAGATGACGCAAAGGTGTGTGTAAGAAACGAAGAACACAACAACAAATATAATCTCCAGACACAGTTGATCCCAGAAATTATAGAGATCCCAGCACATTATAGAGACGGGTCATGAGGTTGATTTCAACAATGCCTTAAGCCATATATAATAAACAGGGTTGGATCACGTATTTAAATTCGTTGAAGCCTTGTCCATAAAACGACTTAAATCTGTCTCATGTGCACAAAACTTATTTTCAAGTATTGGTCTTGTAGGGATTTCGTTTCAATGGATGGAGGATTTCATCATGAGCTGACATCATTTAGAGAGCCACTGGAAAACGTGGGAGCACTGGACAGCTGATTCGTCCTACTTTGACACTCTTCAGCAGTTATTTGTTATCACTTCAAACCTGCCTTGGTAATATGATTTAGAGACAAGGATCAGTTTACTTTACAATATATTCAACCCTTCTTTGCTTTCTTTTTTTGTCTTTTACTTTCTTACCCACATGTTTGCGTCATCTCACCACTCTTTTATTTGTGACCTTCACCTGTACACAATCTGACCTGCATTGTAATTATTCACGCCCTTTTTTTGTCTTCTATAAAACTGTGTATGACGAGTACTGGTGTTTGTGATCAGAATGTTGAAAATGTGTCGCGCAAATACATCACACGTTTCAGATAAACTACGTCTTCTTATTGTGTTGCTGACAAACTTATTCTTCGCTAAATTCGAAGAGAGAAAATGATTCGGCCTGGTGAAAGCCTTCAAGGAACCAGTCAGCCAAAGCTCCTTCTTTCGATGAAGGTCAGTATAAACAGTGGGTTGTCGAATCTTCACAAGATGTTTGTAAAAATAAGAAATCTGTTAGGAATCACCGAGAGCAAATAGAATTTCAGTGAACTCTTCAAATTGTTAATTGGAGGGCTGGTAGTATACTCCAGTCATCTAGACGACAAACAGTAAATGCACTGAGGGAGTGGCCAACCATGCTGAAAGAAATACAGATGGATAGGATACACGGTGAGGAAGTTTTATTTTATTTTATAGGAATCAGTCGACTTTGAATTACCATTTGGACAGCTTCACTCCAATCTCCCTTCCTCTTATTATGTAGAAATAGGTTAGTAAGCATCTGATAACCTTTTTTTTACGTTGAAAGAGGATGGAAAATGAGAATATTCACGGCACTTTCTTAATACAGGATGATAAATGTGCCGAAATTAAAGTGGTTAGCTTTTAGCAAGGTGATTTAACACCCCCTTTTATTTCTATCGCAGAAACCAACGGTTGTGACGTGATGAAATACCAGGTAGCTTCATAACGTATCATTGATTAATTCTTAATCAATGTTCATTGTTATAAAAGTGTTTATATATTTCCCAATGAATAAATGAAAAACAAAACGATAATGTTTTTTTAATGAACGTTTCACTATTTCATGCTGCTAATGGCTTTATCAAAGTATTATTAAACCAGAATTAACAAATTCTAAGCTTATGTACAATAATTTAATCACCCTTCCTCAGTATGGGGTCATTTTTCGTTGTCCAATTGGTAAAGATAACAAAACCGGGTGTAATGACTGTTGGGTTTGATAACTGTATAAAACTATACCAAAGCAGCATGTATTTACATAATGAAATTGCCTTTCATATTCATGTTGATTTTTTCATTTTGTTTGGGGGTCAGGGGTCAAATTCTGTTTTGCATCCATCATTCCTATTCAGACAATTTAGATTCCACTTGATATGAAGTGCTTCTGATGATATTAGACGTTGTTTGTGATTTCTGAAATCTTTTTTCTGATACTTCAATATTGTTGAAATCAATTTTGTAACCTGGTCCTATGGCGTTTAGATGATCTATGACTGATGGTTTTTCAAGCTTTTCTAGTTCAACTTGACTTCTTGATGGTCGAACAGATACTCTACGGTGTTCATTTCTTCTGGTTTTGATTCCTCTCTGGCAATGTTTGTCCTATGTATATCACATCACATTCCAAGCAAATTTTATTTTACAGACCCAAATAGGTGGAGAATCCTTAGGGATTTGGTCTTTTATATGGATTGGGTTGCTTCGCAGTGTGTCTGATGGTTTGAAAAAAAAACCTGATGTCTATCTCAATGAGTACTCCTCTGATATCGTCTGATCTTCGTTACTATGTGAAATTAAATAAATAATAATTGTATCCATGTAAAATAATCTATATAAATGCGATTGTACAGCTGCTTTTTAGAATGAAATCGCCGAAAAGATCGCCATCTTTCCTGAACTTCGTGTTCTCTTCTTTCTAATGTCCATATGGGTATTCTACCACGAAAATAATACTGTTTCACTGACTGTGTGATATTTCTAATAACCAATCTTATATGAAATTAATTACCACCACAGTGCCCCCCAAGTTTTACACATATATTAACACTATAAAAAGTAGACTAACCTGAAAGTTAGAGCTGTTCCAATGACTAGAAACATATATATTTGGTATACAATGTATGAAACTGACAAATGATACACTAACCAAGATTGTAGTGACCAGACACCACATAATTTGCCATATTAAATGCTTTAATTGACCTGCATTCTGTTTTCGTGTTGGTATACACTTCCATTTGTGTTGTTTATATAAACGTTTTACAGCCAGCTGAACTTTATTCGGTGTAGTCTGTGAATTTTGTTTCACCTCAGTATCATCTTGTGCCGATTGATTGGTAGTAGTAAACGGTAGTACAGGGACTTCTAATTTAATAGAGGAGATACTATTTTTATTCGTTGAATTTTCTTGACGTAATTGTTGTGTCAGTTGGTCATTTGACAATTCACTTGGAAGGCAGGAAACAGCATTTTTATGCTTTTGTTGTTGTTGTTGTTGGTCGTGGTCATGGTGGCGGTGACTTTTTCTTGAATTCCTTGTATGCTTCGATTTCAGCGTATTCTGATTGTCGTTAGTATATTCCCAGAAAATACAGGCTCTAGTGTTTCACTTGATTGGCTTTCTTTATAAAAATGATGTAGCCGTCTTGATTTCAATCGAATTGGAGGTAGTTTGAAACATAAGCAACCATGCTAAAAGAAGGAGAGAAGAACTCTAAAGACTCAGGTTGAAAAACCTAAGTTAGAGCATTGTTCAATAGAGCACGAAAAATCGGTTATCACAGTACAACTGAATATGAAATAAACAGTCCGAAGAGTATTTGATCTAAGAATGAATATCCTTTGAGGTTCATCAATAAGTACTCTAAAAAAATATGCCTCAATAAAACTATCCATACAATTTCGAATAAAGATGGAGCAAAGTATATCGGCCGTACGCAACTTCAAGTCCACAAAGGTATTCTGGAACACTGTCCAGCTTGGTTATCCGCAAGAAGAAAGAAGAATACCGGCAGAGCTATCCTCAAAACACCTGGTGACCTCCGGAAATTGGGCATCATCACTTGCACGAATGCTTTACAGTGATACACAGAGTCCCTCAATATCGTACTAAGTGACTTTGCATACACCATCTGTATATAGCTGAATCATTAGCCATTTGGTATCTGAAACCAGGCCTCTGTATTCGAAAGCGCCATATATATATATATACATTAACTGGCCCTACCGAGGCCAGAGTAAAATCCTTACTATAATTTTGCTTCTTATTTTTTATTATGTAAGTTCACTATTATTATTATTGTTATTACTACTATTATTTTATTATCATTTTTATTCTCATCATCCATATTTTATAACCACTCTATTACTGTTCATTAATAACATTGCTTTTTCATGCATTTTGTCACCTTTTCACTAGTTCCTGTCCGTTCTACACGAGCTTACTGATTAGTCATTATCTCACACTTATTACGTCATGCGGATTTCTGCCTCATTTGCATCGGTGGCACAGTGGTTAGGATCCTCGCCTACCATGCACATGGTCCGGGGTTCGATCCTCCGCCGACGCACACCCGATATCTATGGTCGGCCTGCGAATTTTGGGCTACCGATATCCACGCTGAAAATTCCATACTTGTACCAAAAATACGGTGTGGAATCAAGCTGTAAATCAAAAAAAAAAATTTTCCACTTTCCAGTTAGGTACACCTTCTAGACTGCACCTTCAGTTATGTAATATATTTTTCAAGGACAAAGTTTACCAGTATCTGATTAGTCTAAAGATTTCTTTGTTTAATATAATTGCGATTGTAAAGTTCATGAAAATGTTTCATAGGAGAGAAAATCTCTTCGTTGTTTTTGAACCGTTTTCTTATGATTCAATATGGGAATATTTCGTCTAGATAGATATTTGTATCAATTCACCACCTAAAGTCAATGATGTACAAGAAGGCGACCTGCCTAAATCATTAGGACTACCGCAAATTACTTTCCTCGAAAATGCTTAATTTCATCTGAATTTATCATTGTTTTAATCGTCCAGTTATATCAAATGATCTATACATAAACTTGAGCGATGATCTAACTTTACTCCCAAATAAACGCTTTACAATTCTTCAACGAAATGAAGATATACTTCAGATGATTACTTTACATGTGAATCCTGTGTGAAGAAAAAAGTACTTTTGGAACTGAATACGCTGAAAATTTTTGTACTGTATATTCGCATACTGTCTTAAATAAAGCTTTACCATTATAAAAAAAAAGAGTCCAACGAAAGCTTCATGAAGTTGTCAGGAGAACTTATTATGTTACGGAACTCGTCCACCTTGTTACCATCAAGTGGGTGCTTCATCATTCTGAGAAAGACACTTCAAAATGTGTACATCTCGTGGCCCAAGTGGTCTAGTGGATAACGCTTTGGCGTTCGAAACTATGGGTACTGGGTTCGAGCCTCGGTGGGAACGTCATCACTCACTGAGAAATGCAGGTACATCCAGCTGACGAGTCCCAAATAGGACGAAATGCGCTTTATCCTGGATTCCACTGCTAGCCACCATCCACCAATTTTTTTTTTTTTGATTTACAGCTTGATTCCACACTGTATTTTCGGTACAAGTATGGAATTTTCAGCATGGATATCGGTAGCCCAAATTTCGCAGGCCGACCATAGATATCAGATGTGCGTCGGTGTGGGCTCGAACCCGAGACCATGTGCATGGTCGGCGAGAGTCCTAACCACTGTGCCACCGACGTACAAATCAAATCCCCAGACATCGTCGAAGCATCTGCACAAGAAGCCGACATGTCAACCTGAGACCGAGCACTTCGGTTCAATCAATCGACGGTAAAATCAAGAATTCAATTCAATAGATGATCTGACATTCAAGAAACAGTCACAATGAGATGAAAGATTGAATTTCAGTGAGAAACAACCAATCAGAAGACTGTGTTTGTTTGCTTCAATACTCTATAATAATGTACATGATTTCCTTAATAGACCATCTGTTGCCTGACCCCTGTATTCTGTTGTTACAGTATCAACATAAATTAAAAACAGGAGAAGATAAGAGAACCAATTATTATTTTACTGATAACAGCGTAAGTTTTTGGGTTTCACGCCTAGCATTATCTCTATCACTTAGAAAGCTGGCCAAATACAGTATCGTCGAGTTTTTGTCTTTGTTTGGACGAGCCCTAGTAATAATTAATAAGGCGCATCATTCAAGAAGAAAGAATACTCAAAAACGAGGAAAAACGCCATCTATGCAATTAGTTACAACTTTGGCTTAAATTTAGGCATGTTCATTAAGGTATTTCTAAACATCAGCCAGCATCACTAGTCAGAGGATAAACAAGTTCTAATCATAGCATCAGATTTTACTCACCTTGTAGATTGTGAAGACAAAGTCGATGGTTGTTAACAAGATATCAATCCTATTCCGACTAACCCCAATTTATCCTTACAAATTCTTTTTTTATATACGAGTGACATCGTTGAAAACCACCTAAATAAGCCCAGTTAAGGTGTGATTCCAGTATGAATAGAATTTTATTTTGATAAAGTCATACAGTGGTATTGTAAAGTAAGTAATATTTATTGATGACCACGTTTCATTACTGCTCATAATCATATCACGATACTAGTCATACAACTGTTTTGCTTCATTTATATACATGAGTAAAAATTGATGATTAGACATTTGAATACAAATCAATATAAGACATGCGTGAATCAGAAAGGAAGATATACTTACAGAGACAAACTTTTTGGGCTAAACGACCCACTTAACCCAGTTAAATAAAATAATACAATATACAAAATACCTTACAATAACTGTCAGTGAAGTCAACTACATAGGTCAAACTAGTAGATCGGAGGAGATTAGTGAGATGATTAAAACATAAGAATTTAGCTGAGGTTAGAATGATTTATCCCACGAAGATAAGTAATTTTGAAAAAATCGCAGCACTGCATTGCACTGCATGCATTAACACACAACCACACAATAGGGTGAGTGAGACAGAGTTAAAATTCCAAAAAGTAATATCGGTAGGCAGGTGGAGAGAGAGAGAGATGTAGTTGATTACTGAATCCTGGTTTGTAGAGTCTACACTCAACACAAGCAACAGAATTGACTCAACGCAAATATCAGAGATGTGTATAGAAGATATTATTACCACCAGTCAAGTCAGAAGAGGATAATAAATAATCATAAAATTCTATTTCACTTCAAGCACATCACAACATTCTAATAAGTAACTTATTATGACTATAAGAAACACTCGTCTTATTTCCCATCTGATTGTAATTGGTCAATAACACTCATATCATTGTTTCTGAATGTACATTATCCAATATTGATTTTTATTCCAATATCTAATCGATTCCACACATGCATATAAATGAAGGAAAAAAAGTTGTGTGAGTAACTTGATATGATTATGAGCAGTAATAATTTGTGCTCGAAACGTGGTCATCAGTTAATATTACTGTACACCACTGTATGACTTTATCAGAATAAAATCTTATCCATAATGGAGTTATGCTCTACCACGGGGCTCAACTTTTATACTTATATAAATAAATAACTTGCTAGAATGTTCTAATGTGAATTGAATTGAAATACATTTTAAGATTATTTATTATCCTCCTCTGATTTGATTGGTGGTAATAATATCTTCCATACATATCTTTGGCATTTTTATTCAGTCAGATCGCTGTGGTCAGCTACATAGTTCAAACTGGTAAATCAAGAGTAGTGAGATTATCAGAACATAAGAATTTAATAACTAAGTGTGAAATGATTGATCCCACGAAGAAAAACAAACTCAACAACTGTACTGCATGTATTAACACAACACTACACATTAGAGTGGATGGAACAAAGTCGAAATTCTAAAAGATGATATAGGCAGGTGGAGACAGGGAGAGAGAGAGAGATTGATTGCTGAATCCTGGTTCCCGAGTGAATCTACACCCAACATATGGTACAATAGAAGTGACTCAGTGCAAATACAGAGATATGTATTGAAGATATTATTACCACCAGTCAGTCAGTCAGTCAAATCAGAGGAGGATAATAAATAATTTTAAAATGTATTCAGCTCAATTCACATTATAACATTCAAACAAGTTATTGATTTCGACTATAAAAACATCTTTCTACCCATCTGATTGTATTTCATTGATAACACTCATATTACTATTTCCGAATGTACTTTATCTTATATTGATTTTATTCAAATGTCTAACCATCACTTTTTACTCATGTATATAAATGAAGCAAGAAAGCTGTGTGAGTATATGTGCCTTGATATGATTATGAGTAGCAATAATTTGTGCTGGAAACGCGGTCTTCAGTGAATATTATTTATTGTATAACAACACACTGTGTGACTTTATCAAAATAAAATTTTATCCATAATGGAATTATTCCACAGTGCCATTTTTATCCTCATAGCTAATTCTAGTGCTTAGAAGATGACGATTTGGATGATTTCCTGTTTTCCTTCTCAGCTGTTAATGTTTTAACCATCTTTAAATGTTGCTTAAGTGATGTATATTAAAAATTTTAAGATAGGTTGGTGAACAAAGAGTATTTATTCTATTCAATAACTTCTTCATCAGACTCCACAGCTGTATTGTATTGGATTATTGCTATTAACAACATTGAAGTTTCAAATAACAC